GCGGAATTAGAACAGTTACATGTGTGTACTGTTCATCCACCTAGCAGGTACACTAGCTGCAGTTCTCTTTTTTTTTTTTTTTTTTTTTTTTTTTTTGGTTATTGGCTGCATTTCTCACCCTCCTGAATGACAAATGTCTTCAGTCCAGTTGCATTGTCAGGGCATTTACCTGCTCAGGCTATGCCTAGCCCACTCATGGGTGCCCCACGATCTTCTCCCCTCCGTCTTTCCCACCCTGCTTTTTCCCTTCTGTCCTTCACCTGCAGTTTGTAGCTGAAGAGGTGGTGAAAGTGTGTGCGGTTGGGTTCTACTTGTAGGCTGCACGTACCTGGTCGTTACAGTGGCCAAAAGCAGGCTGCATGTACCTGGTGGTAATAGTGGCCAAAGCTCGGGCTATCATATCAGGCAAATCATGGAGTTTGTGCCACTCCCCACCCGATTTCCCATGATGCTGTTTTCCTTCTATATGTTGCTTCCAAATTGTTGCTCAAGAGACTTATAGTGTGAACATCCTCGTTCTGGTGCGTATGAACATATTATGTCCCTGGTGGTACAGTGCTAAAAATAGCAGACAACATCATGGACTCGAAAACCAGTAAAACCAGTATTTTGCCTTTTCCTGTGCAGCTCTTTCTTCTCTTTCCTGACTCTAGCTTCTGTTATGGTTTCTCTTTTATTTCTTTTAGCTCCCCCCTCCACTGTGCCTCTCGCATACAAGGCTCGCCACATTCATGTAGCTCAGCACGCACTGCCTAAATCCCCATCTGCTGACAGGATGGGTAGTGTATGGGGTTAAACAGTCGTTGTACCCGCTCTACCCAACCTCCCCCTGTTCTACCCCGTTCTATGGTAGAGCATGCTCCGCTCTGGCATTTCATTGATCGCACCGAGCGCAGGGGGGCGCGGACACGAGGTGCCACACTGCCACCCCAAGTGCTAAAACCAGGAAAGCAAAGGAAAAAAAAATGTCCCACTGCAAACCCCCCCGGGCCTGCCCCCTTCTCCCAATACAACCCACCACCCCGTCTCTCCCAGCAACCCACACATCTCCAAGCACCTCGAACATCCCCCACCACGGCCCCTTAATTCTCCCACCTGGAGTATGTACTACGCTGCCGCTATTGCGCCTGCTGGCTCCCGCTCCCACCGCCCTCGCCGTTGCTGCTCTCTCTCTCTCTCTCTCTCTCTCTCTCTCTCTCTCTCTCTCTCTCTC